AGTCATTACGACATGCATGTATCTTTTGCACCTCTAACCCTAGAGGGCAGGCAGCCTTCTTTGCTTCATACGTACTCTCGGGCAATTTGTTGTCCTTTGGAAGCATATTCTTTATCATTACTAGCAACTTTCCAAATCCCTTGTCAGATACACCATTCTCTGCCATCCATTGCAGCAATTCAAGTGTGGTGCCCAACTTTTTTTTGTCAGCTTCGCAATTCGGGTACAACAATTTCTTGTGATCCTCTAACATGCGCTGTAACTTCGTCCTCTCCAGATCACTTGCGCAGTTTCTCTTTGCATCGGCAATGGCCCGACCTAGATCATCAGCGGGCTCATCTGATGCCTCTTCTTCAGCTTCTTCCCGCATTGCCGGCTCAGCTTCTTCCCCCATTGTTGTATCATGGTATTCAGGGAACCCATGGCCAGGATAGCCGTCGTCGTCCTCTTCTTCTTCATTGTCTTCCATCATAACCCTTATTTCTCCGTGCTTGGTCCAAACATTATAGTGGGGCATGAAACCGGACTCAAATAGGTGGACGTGAATGGTTCTTGGCGTAGAGTAACTGTGACCATTCTTACAGCCAGCACATGGACAAGGCATAAAACCATCCGCCCGCTTGTTTGCCTCAGCGGCCCGCAGAAAAGTATGCCATTAATGAACTCGGGAGAGCATCGGTCATCATACATCCATTGTCGGCTCATCTTCATTACACAACACCGAATAGACCAAATTAATACAAGTTCATACATAAAGTTCATATAGCACTTAATTAAATGCAACATACAAATAACTCTCTAGCTAAAGAATTTAAATGCAACAACAAATGCGATGAAGATTGCAACTAAGGTAACAATTGATCCAATAACATAATGATACCAAGCCACACTATCAATGACATATTTTCTAATCTTTCTAATCTTCAACCTCATTTTCTCCATCTTGATATTGTGATCCTCGACGACATCGGCAACATGCAACTCCAATTCCATCTTCTCCCCCTCAATTCTTTTCAATTTTTCTTTCAAATACTCGTTTTCTCTTTCAACTAAATTTAACCTCTCGACAATAGGGTCAGTTGAAATTTCCGGTTCACATACCTCCTAGATAAAAATATCTATGTCAACTTGATGGGCATAATTTGTCATAAACACGAAATACAACAACTAGTTTTAAAAGAGAATATACCACATCCGAATCATAACAAGGACGAGGGCCGACGGGGACGGATATCAAAACCATGGCACTATGTATACCAAACAACGTACGGGTAAGATAATTATACGAGTAACTATATATCCAAATCACACAAACATCAATTTGGTAATGTAAAACATTCATGAACAAGAGCCTCAACACAAGGTGGTGCCGGCGACGGGACGGTGCGGGCGATCGACGGTGGTTACGACGGAGATTTAGAAGGCACTAAGTAAACCACACCTACATATGCAAACTAAGTGTTATTTTTGACCTCAAATTGCATATAAATCAAATACTAGCAAATATAATTCCTCCCAAATTAATCACTATACAAAGCATTGCAAGAGCTAATCTAGCAATGAGAGTTGAAAGGACAAAGTTGCTAACCTTTGTGATCATTTGAATGGATGGGGGCCTTCAAATCTTGACAAATTTTGGGCAAAATTTGTGAGGAGCTCGAGGAAGAGAGGGGAAGAACAGAGGAGAAGTGAGGGGAAAGGGGAAGAACAGAGTGGCTCGAGTGGACGAAGGGTTTATGTACGTCGACCTTTAGTACCGGTTCATGCCACGAACCGGTACTAAAGGTGTTGGACGGGCCCCAGACTGACAACACCCTGCCACCACCCTCTTTAGTACCGGTTCGTGGCACGAACCGGTAATAAAGGTTCCCACGAACCGGTACTAATGAGAACGGCCAGCTAGCCGTTGAAACCGGCACTAATGGACACATGAGTGCCGACTCAAAATCAAACCGGCACTAATGTGTCTCATATTAGGTCCTTTTTCTACTAGTGCTTGATGAACATCTTCCTCTTCTTTAGATATCATCTCAACCAGCTGGTCAAATCCCCTATTTAGATCTTCACGCAGCTCTTTGATTTGTTGTTCAGCAATATCCACCCTCTTTTCCAATTGCTCCACTGCTTGCTGCAACTTGCTCTCGAAGAGGACAGCAAGAACGATTATGGGTCAACGAGGCTCTGATACCACCTGAAGCAGCACAAAGGTTATGGAGGAGCAACTCCACCTTGCTGCTACAATGTGTACAACACAAGTGTTGAAGGAACAACTTCAACGTGCTGCGCTAGATATCGCTCTAGAGGCGAATGTAGGCTGATAGGTCAGCAAGAGTTCAATCCAGAACTCCTAGGACACAAGATCTACTCCAAGATCTTAGATAAGAACAACAAGTTCTATTATAGGTAGGGTGTACATAGTCTGGTACAAAGTAGAGGTGAGGACCTCTATTTATAGGGCTTTGGGAAGCCTTCACATACTTCTACTTATAGCTGGAATACTCTAGAAACATTATTTAAGGTTCATCATTCTACTCATAGCTACTCACAACTAGAAGACTCTAGAAAACAGTAGGTAGGATAAAGAAAAGAAAAGAAATACTAGACCACAACAGAAGTATCTAGAAGTAGCCAAACAAATTTGACATATGATTATATTTTCATGTTCATCATCTACTGTTCCTCATCAAACATCGCGCGCGCGGCATAACTAGTTCAGCGCGCGGGCCGAAACGCCATCGCGCGCCGTTTATTTGATGCGCCCGCTCGTAACTTCCACCTACCCCCATCCAGCCGCTGGCGCCGCCATCATCCGCGCCACCCCATTTGTTCTGGCTACCGTTCCGGCGCTTCCCCGACGTATCCTCGCGTTGCCGTTGCTTCCTCCGTCTCCCTCTAGTTGCCGCTGCCCCTCGCGCGCGACATTCCTTCGACAAACAACGCCTGGCCGCCCACTGCCGCTCGGCGTCCGCAAGGTGTTCGACAAAACACTTGCAAGATATGTATTGCTTCAACTTCACATTTTTACATGAATTTGGTGCATGTTGTTTGTAGTTTTTTTATAGCCTAGTTTGAATTGAACATTGTATATGAGTTCGTCATATGATTCTTTCGAAGAAGATTTTGATATTGAATAGGAGGATGATCTTGCAATGATCCTAGCTATGCACATCAATAAAAAACCGAAGCACGGTAGTTCGGTTATGGATCGACAGAAAATTTGGAGGGATAGGATCGATGCCCACAACAGATTGATCAGACACTGTTTTGCGGATGCTCCCGTGTACCCCGAGTCGTACTTCCGGCGCTGGTTTAGGATGAGCACCGAGTTGTTCAAGCACATTGCAGAGAAACTAGCGAGCCATGACCGGTTTTTTCAGCAAATGAGGAATGTCGCCGGAGAGCTCGAGCATAGCACCTTTCAGAAGGTGACAGCTGCTTTGCGTATGTTAGCATACGGTATCCCGGCTGATCTAGTTGATGATCACTTGGCCATGGGTGAGAGTCAAGCCATCATGTGTGTCAAGCGCTTCGCAGTCGAAATTGTGCAAGTATTTGGCCAGAAAATATTTGAGATCTCCCAATGCCGAAGAAGCCACAAGGCTGTTGGAGATGAACAAAGCTCGCGGCTTCCCAGGTATGCTTGGCTCAATAGACTACATGCATTGGAGTTGGAAGAATTGTCGTAAGGCATGGCATGGCCAATTCCATGGCCAAAAAAAGGTTCCACTATAATCCTTGAAGCGGTGGCCGATCAAGAAACTTGAGATTTGGCATGCTTTTTTTGAAATGCCTGGATCTTTGAATGACATTAACGTTGTTAATCGGTCACCACTGATGAATACGATTGCAAATGGTGAACTACCCCGGTGCAGTTTGTAGCAAATGGCTACTATCTTGCGGATGGCTTCTATCTTGCGGATGGCATCCACCCAAAGTGGCAAACATTTGTGAAGCCGTTGAAAAAACCGAATGGTAAAAAGAATCTTGATTTCCACAATGCTCAGGCGGCGGCAAGAAAAGATGTGAAGAGAGTTTTTAGGATTTTGCAAGTCCAGTTTGCTATTGTGAGAGGATCGGCTAGATCTTGGGATCAAAAAATGCTTTGGTACATCATGCACGTTTGCGTGATCATGCACAACATGATCATCGAGAATGAGCGTGGCCAAGATTTAGACTACTCTCACTATGAGCTTTTGGGACATCCCGTGCGGTGCGGCGGAGGGCTGAAAGGGTGGCCTGTTTTGTTGCCTCCTATCATGTCATTCGGTGTGCCGAAACTTATGATAATCTTCAGAAGGATCTCATCGAGAAGTGGCGGGTATGGAATGGCCGACAAAGAGCATCATGATTTGTGCGTTTTATGTTGTATTGTTGAACTATTTGCTGTACTGAAAGATAAACTATTTGTTTGAGTTGTAATAACGAAATTGAACTATTTATTATTAATTTTATTTTGTTTATGTTTGATCTTCTTGATTGTGTTTGGAGTGCATATGTTGTTTGTGTGAGAGAGCACGTGCAATATTTTTCAGCACCTGCTGGAGCTACTCACGCGTGCTAAAGTTTACAGCGGCCGCTGGAGCCAGCGCTCCGCGCCGCGCAAAAACAGGCGATCGACACGCTGCAAATGCTTTTTTCGCGCGTTGGGCGGTCGTTGGAGATGCTCTTAATAACCCAACACAAATATATATTATATATAGATATGTTTTCACAGCTGCTGCTACATATACATTGGTTATTTGGAGTCATATCTCATACTAGAGCGTGCGATGGTTGTGTGCATCAGTCGATGCAGAAGCTGGGGTTGACTGCGTCTATGGTATAGTTCACGGAAATCTTCCAGAATTCCATCCGGCACATACATACGCCGCCGGGATATCTCCGGCATCTTACGGTTCTCTTTAATGAAGTATAATTAAGCAGTGGTGATACTTGGTAGTATACCACGTATGGCGGTACTGTATTTGATTGAGCCGATGGTGCATGCGCGTGGCTGATCATTAGTTGGTGATGGGGATGATCCTGCCGTAGGCCTTCTTGCCGTCGTCCTTGGGGATGGTGATGGTGAGCACGCCGTTGTCGAGCGCGGCGTGGACGCCGCCGCCGTCGACGTCGGCATTGGGCGGCAGCCGCACGGTGCGCACGAACTTCTCGGCACTCCGCTCCACGCGGTGCCACCGGTCGCCCTTGTCCTCGGCGGCGCGGGCGCGCTGCCCGCTGATCCGGAGCACCCGCTCCTGCTCCACCTCCACCTTCACCTCCTCCCGCCGCAGGCCCGGCACGTCCGCCATGAACACGTGCGCCGTCGGCGTCTCCTTCCAGTCCATGCTCGCCGTCGAGAACGGCAGGCCCAGCGCCGGCCGGCAGCCGCCACCGCCGAACGCAGTCAGCGAGATGGCCTCCATGAACGGCTCCAGGATGTCGATGCTCACCGGCTCCACGACCTCGTCCCCGCCGCCGCCGTGGCCGTGGCCGTTGGCCTTGTGGCCCGCCGCGTGCTGCTGCGGCTGCGGCTGCGCCGGCGGCTGCCTCCGGCCCAGCATGCTGGAGATCATCGACATGCTGCCTAGCTTAATGTATCAGATTCTTTCTTTCTTCTTCTTCTAGCTAGCTAGCTTTGTTGATGATATGTAACCTTTGGGCTACTTGCCTTGTCTATTTATAGATGCATGACAGCATGGGTACATGAATGGATTATTACTTGCTGTGCATAGATGCCATCCATCTTCTAGGAGCTTGTGGAAAACTAGTGGATGTGGATTCATTATTCGATGGCTACACGCACTGATAAAGGATTTGTTTTCCCCAAAGATCATACGAATCATTTGCTTTGAAGAGAATAGAATAAAAGCAACTTTTCATCTTGTTCATATTCATATGGCCTTCAGTTCTGATGGTTTGTTTTTATTTTTTAGAGATAAACAGTGACCTTTGTTTCATCAGGTTTTTATCATTTATGCCACTAATTGTGTCTCGTTACTTAGTTTTGACATTAGTAGCTACAACTGCTAAAAAATGACATCGTTTTGTTTGATGCCTTCTCAAAAATTTCATTAGACACCTAAAAAATGTCATCATTCCGATAGATGTTTACTTAAAAATGTCATTAGACATTGTTACTATTAGGTCAAACTCGTTCACCATGTTTACAACCAAAATACTTCTAGACCCACATGTCAGCTCTCTCTACATCACAATGATAATTGTGGCCTTGTGGGCCCCACTTGTCCGGAGTAAGCAAGCAAAAAAGTATAGACAAAAATAAGAATGTTGTTGGAGATCGAGTGGGACCCACACTTTCACGTAGTGCGATATATAGGGAGAGAGCTGACATGTGAGTCCATGGGTATTTTGGTCACACAATATGGTAAATGGGCTTTGAGCCGATAGTAATGGTGTCTAGTGACATGTTTGGGCATGCGCCTAACGGAGTGATGGCATTTTTTAGCAGTGAAAACTTCTAGTGGCAAAATTGAGCGGTGAGAAACAACTAGTGACATAAATAATTAAGAAAAGCCTATTTCATATAGCAAAGTTCAAAGGGATACAAAGATTGTGAGGAGGATTGGATAGCCAAATATGGCGTCCAGGATCTCTACTCCTAATGGACGAATTGGTTGAATAGTCCCCCCCACTTTCAACCGGTTTATTTTCAACCGGTTTATTTTCAACCGGTTTTTCTTCGTCCCACCTCCCACCAGCCCCTCCCACCGGTTTTTCTCTTTTCTTGTCTAACCGGCAATACCCAACGTATTTATGGTAATCAATCATAATTAATCCACGTATAGTAATAAATCAATCCAGGTATGGTAAGGTCATAACTCAGGAAATTTTGAATATGGTAATTATATGGTAATAAATTTAAATTACCCTAAAGGCTATCAATCCAGGTATGGTAAGGCCATAACTCGGGAAATATCGAATATGGTAATAAATTTAAATTACCACCAGGTATGGTAAGGCTATCCACGTATAGTAATAAATCATATAGTAGTAAATCATAATTAATCCACGTATAGTAATAAATCAATCCAGGTATGGTAAGGTCATAACTCAGGAAATTTTAAATATGGTAATTATATGGTAATAAATTTAAATTACCCCAAAGGCTATCAATCCAGGTATGATAAGGCTATAACTCGGGAAATATCGAATATGGTAATAAATTTAAATTACCACCAGGTATGGTAAGGCTATTGATCCAGGTATGGCACGCCCTCACCTGATCACCTATCACAATCTCCAGCCCCACGCACGCACCAAAGAACCCACCCGGCATCAAAGGCAGCTCCTCTCGATCCCCTCGAGTAAATGCCACCGCCGTTGTGCGATCTTCGTGACACAAACGCCATCGCCGCCTCCTTCCCACCTACGGCGTCCCCCACGTCCATGGTGACGGCGCTCGCGTCCTACACTGACCCTCCGCCTCATATAGGTTGGTCGTTGATGGAGTGGGATGTGCTGCTGCGGTTTGGGGAGGCGCAATCACGATCTGGTTGGGATCTCAGTGTGGACTCGTTCTCTGCGATGAAGGATGGAGCTGCCTCCCTGGCAAATGGGATCGGAGGAAGGGGCTCTACGTCGTGAATGTCGGCGAGGCAGCGGCCGAAGGCGAGCCCGACGGTGAGCACGGGTGTTCGTCCCATGAAATAGGCGGCCACGGAGGGCGGATCTGAGGCCACCCCAATCGCCGGTGGCCCTTCCTCCCATCGCTCATCGCCTCCATTCTCTCTCTCCTCTAAATCTTTGTCGCCCCTGCCTGGTTCTGGCCGATGCCATCCGGCTCTCGCATCGACCACCACTAGCACGGCTGCGGACGAGGCGCAACCGCAGCCGCCGCCGCCGCCATCCTCATCCACCTCCTCCACCATCCTTCCCAGCCGTCGTCGGGGGCACCCGCCATCTGCGCTCTAGCCCACCCGCTCCCTCCTATCCCCCCCCCCCTGCCTGCCAGCCCCGTGATCCATCGCACAGATGGCAGGTACTACAGCGACCTCCTCCCCAGTGGATCCGGCCTTCTCTGATGGAGATCCATCCTGGGCACCGCCTTATTCTCATGTGTGCACGTCTATATCAATGTCTCATTCCACATCACTTTGCAAGGTATGTGCTTGATTGTTCCAAACTGGATCGATGGATTGTGCAAGGTACTTTGGGTGTCGTCATTGACGGCAATTGTCACGCCATGCTACCATCGGAGGGGTCCCTCATCGATGATTAGGGTCTTCCGAACTGCACGAGCTCCATTGAGAAGGTCATTAAATAAAAGGTTATATTGGAGTGTACTATAGGGCCTTTTGCACTTTAATATGACTAATAATTTGCCTTAATATCACAGATTGTATTACTACCTTCCTAAGTGAATGACATTCAAGAAGGTCATTAAATAAAACCAAGAAATCCTTCTGGTATTGGAGTGTGGAAAGTTGAGACTATAAAACCAAAAGGTTATATTTACGTTTATTAGAGAAGGTTCTTTACTTTTTATAGGAAAACACAAAATGTTGCAATGTAGAGTCTAGGTGGTGGGCCTCCTTGATCCACTTGGTGGATGAGGGCGACTCCGGTCCTGGCACCCATAGTGCCAGTGATCCAAAAATCATAGGGCCTGGATATAGCTCTAGCAGACGTATGCGGCTTGCGCATCGAGCTTGGTCGTCTCGAGCATGGAGATAGGCGAGTTGTAGACCAAGAGCTGGTACAGAGATAGGCGAGTTGTAGACAAGAGCTGGTGGACAGCAAGAAACGCATGCACACCAAAGAACAAATCTGAGTCACATGCCTACTTCTATTGGTTTCTAAAAAGAGCGGCTAGCTTAGATCTTAGACCAGTCGGTCACTGTCGAGGTCGCCAAGGTGATCTTACAGCACCGCCGTGGGGATTTCTCATGATTTTATCTAGGCAAGCCGCAAGCGGTGGTGGTGATTGGCTGGGTGGTGTCGCTGCCTTGGGAAGAGACGAAGTGATGGTAAAAGTAAGCAGGATCCGATGATTCTTCTGTGGGGATAGCCAAAGTCAAGATGTCGACTACAGACTCGTCGCAGACTTGCAGTGAACCTGGATGCGGCGAGCCTGATTTGTGGATCGATGGCGGGTCTTGACTTTGTTAGGCTGGGATTGGATGGTTGCGGAGGGTGGTGTGCTTGGTTGGGTTTCCATGGAAGAATGTGACCTCCTCGTGGATCTGGTCATGCCCATCCTAGAGAACATTGTGTCCCTAGCTCCCTCGAGGAGCAAGGACAGTGCAAGCGGCAGCAGGGGGTAGGGGTAGATGTGGGGAGGGATGTCGGCGGCTGCTCGAGGTCATCATGATGAAACCCTTGACATCCCATCTTTATCAATGGAAGTGGAAGAGCACGAAGTCGAGATTGGATAGGAGTTTTGAGTTCTTTTTGGCACCGATCGGTTCCCCACTTTAAAGATGTATTTTTTTTTGCGTGCGAGCAAACAGTGGGTTGATTCTAAAAGGGATAGTCACTTTTCAACAGAAGTGCATGACGGACCAAAAATATGACCTCATTTTATTCGTTCGATAGATATCGTATTATTCGTTGTTGTTCGTTCGGTGAAATTTCCTAATATTTGATTGTCATGTTTCTAATTAGAGCACCCCATAATCACCCAATATGAGGGGATGATAAATGAAAGATACTGATTATAAATTTTGAAGAGGCCGTGGCAACGCACGGGCGTTATACTAGTCTAAGGTAGTCGCAAGTCTAAGAGCCTACACATTACAAATGTGCTGCTCATGGTCAAATTCGCAGGCCAAAAGAGAAGTCGAGTGACTAAAGATCTCCTTCAGGAGCATGCAATTGTCTCCCAGCTGCTTCGTGGCGTGTAGATCTTGAATGACTCTTAGGCATCACAAGGCTCCATCGTGTTTGGGTCTATCACCCATCGATGCACAACCACGGATGCGCCAAGAAAGCAACCTTTCCTAATTTCACTATGATTAATCTCCATGGTCATGCTGGGCTTAGTCGCAAATATAAGGGTGAGGATGACCCCTCCTAGCAAATTTCTATACGTCGCATTCTGCGGCAGATTGCCACTATTTCACACGGGCTAGTGACTGATTGAACTGTGTTGTACAAGCCGGTTTTTGGAACCTTTTGAAAGGTTCCTAGCCGGTTTGGGAAACCTTCTAAAGGGTCCCTCATTCTTTTTTCCATTTTTTTGGTTTTTTCTTTTAATTTTTTTCAAGTTTATTTTAAAAATTTAAAAAATTTAAAAATGTCTTGTTGTAAAAAACAGAAATACAAAATGTTCGTGTTTTTCAAAAATATTGAGGAATTTCCAAAATTGTTCATGTTTCTCAAAAAAATTTGGAATAAATAAAATCTCTTATTTGTAAAATTTGTTCACAAATTCAAAAAGAACGCGTTTTCAAAAAAGTGTTTGCCTTTCGCAAAACTTATTCAAATTTTTTAAATTGTTTGGTATTTTTCCAAGAAATGTTCGGTATCGTGTTAGGGAAACCCAGTCGCTACAGTATGAAACCCGAGTCGCTACACGCAAACACTTTATGTGACTCGTGGGCCAGCCCAGGCAAGCGAC